TTAACGTTACGTTTACGTTTACGTTTCGTTTACGTTACGTTACGTACGTACGTACGTACGTACGTACACTACTACACTACTACTACTACTACTCTACTCTCTCTCTCTCTCTCTCTCTCTCTCTCTCTCTCTCTCTCTCTCTCTCTCTCTCTCTCTCTGTGGAAGGAGTTGAGCACTGAGTGAAGACCACAGCCTCTATGCACCAGAAGCAATTTCAGGTATCTATGGGAACAAAAAAAAACAAACCACGAAATCACTTGATCAACTCCGAAATCTCTCTCTCTAAAGAAACCCAACTAATACAAGAGAAAGACTGCATCACACCATTTATAAGTAGGCCAACCTGAACCAGGCAAAAGAAAGTAGAGAGAGAAACTGAAACTTCAACGATTGAATTGATTGAATTGACTTGGAACAGCTGATTAAGTAAGATATTTTGAATGCAAAAAAACAAAGTTCTAGAGAGAGAGTAGCCAAAACAGAGAGCAAGAGGCCAATGGGTTACAACATGAAAAACAGAGGCCAATATGAAAATGCATTTAGAGAGAGAAAGAACAATTCAGATGCCAAGAATTTTCCTTTCGGCAAAGCTACTATGTGCAGAGAATCTATAAAAAGGAAGAACCTCCTACAATTTAAGAAATGCTTGGCCATGAACCAGCCATTTTATACACAGTAACAAAATCTCGAACCCCCTTTAGTATCTGAAGATACCCAAGAAATTTTTAGAGAGAGAAAATGGTTTTCCATTTAAAAAGCATCAAAATTCTCTGCAAAAAGAACCCAATTCAAAAAATTCAAGAGCCCACCTCAAAAAGAGCAAGCCCAACCATGAGAAAATGAGTGCAAGACTAAGGAAATGATCAATTAGATTCTTGGGGTCATTCTTATACTAAAATCTAGAGAGAGAAAGAGAGAAAAATGTTACCTTTTTGTGGGATCCAAAGGAAAGAAGAAGGATCTGCGCTTCGAAGGAAAGTGGTGGCCGAGTATTGGGCGTGCGGTGTAGTGGACACTCAAAAAAAGGGGCCCTTGCATAACGATTCATATCTGTAGAGAGAGAAAGTGTGAAAACCTCAAAGGAGAGAGAGTGTGTGTGTAAAAACTTAAAAGCAAATGTGGGTTTTGTTTTTTCTGTCTGTCATTCTGCAAGAGGAGAGAGAAAGTCATATTTGAGCGTGTAGAGAGAGAGCAGAAACTAAAAAAAGCAGCTGTATTTTTTTTCAATCTCTGTCTTTCTGCTAGTCTAGTTGTGCTGCTGGGGCTGGCATGACCTCCACTAACGTTCTCGGCCACGCCTTTCTCTCTCTAACAACTCCCTCCTTCTCTCTCTAACTATTCACTTAGACCCTTTCTCTCTGCAACTGTAGCAAGTCGGATCAGTCGTCCCCCATGGGCCCGCATGATGTGACCAACTGCTCACCTCTCCCAACATACACCTAACTTCTCTCTCTCTCCCCTAAACTCTCTCCGCCTCTCTCTCTTAACTGCTCTCTCTCTTAACTGCTTCTCTCACTACAAGCCCTCTCTCTCTTAACTGCTTCTCTCACTACAAGCCCTCTCTCTCTTAACCGCTTCTCTCACTACAAGCTCTCTCTCTCTCTGAACTGCTTCTCTCACTCAACCGTCTCTCTCTCTCACTTAAAACCCTTTTATTAAATTCTTCACCGCTCTCTTTTCCACTCATATAACGCTAGAGAAAACACAAGTATACAAAGAGATCATTTACTATTGAAAAATGGTTTGATAGAGTACCAGCCGTAAGTAAACCCTCACCTTTAACTCAGTTAAAATTGTAAATCATCTCCACTTGAACATTATAGTTCTGAAAAAAATTAAGATTTTAAACTCTAAAAAATAATTATATTTTAAAAAATAATTATATTTTAAATATCTGTTTTAGTTCTATTATTATCGATACTTTTTGTTATTACGGATATGTTTTTTTTAGACTTCAAAACAATTTTTTTTTAAAAAAATGAAATTACCAATTGAAAAAAGATGAAACTGCCAATTATAGGTTTTTCAAATACCGAAATCGAGCCAACTTCGGTTTCCAAATAACCTAAATTTTTTTTCTCTCTTCTAAGTCTTCTGCATATGCTATCTCTACCTCCCACTACATTACACGGGTAAAAATGGTTTTTTTTTTTAACTCTTTCTTCCCCCTTCAACCACGGTCTTTTTTTTGGGGTAAGAATTTTTTTGGAACTCTATCTACATTACATGGGTAAAAAAAAAAAAAGAACACGCGTAAAATGGTTTTTTTTTAACTCTCTCTTTTCCCTTCAACCTGGTCTTTTTTTTGGGGTAAGAATTTTTTTGGAACTCTCTCTACATTATATGGGTAAAAAAATAAAAAATTGACTGAGGAATTAGGCCAAGGATATTTGCCAGGGATATTCTCGTAGCTTGAATTGACAAGAGATCTCTTCTTGAAGGTAGGGCATCATGGCTAGGTCATCAGCTTTCCATGCTAATCTAAACTGTTGTTCCCCTAATTTTATTAGACATCAAAGAGGTAGATAGAAAAAATGCCACAAGAGAGATAGAGAGAGAATACGTCACAAGATTTTTTCTAATCTTCTAATCTCATGATCCTTGATGTTTCTCCTAAAGGGATCAAACTAGTTGTTCCCCTAATTTTATCAAATAAGCATGACTGTAGAGAGGTAGAGAGAATATGCCACAATAAAGGTAGAGAGAGTACGCCACAAGATTTTTTATGATCTTCTAATCTCATAATCCCTGCGATTTTGCCGAAATTTAGGGGCTCAAACTAGATGTTCCCCTTTGATTTTATCGGATAACTATGACTTCAGAGAGGCAGAGAGAATACGTCACAAGATAGAAAAAACGTTTTTCATTTAAAATTTTTTATTCTTCAAAAATGGAAAATTTTAAATTTTTGGTTTTCAAAAACCGAAATTGAAAAAAAATTGTTCTGAAGTCCAAACAATGACATATAAATAATAACATAAAGTATTTGGTATTTTGGTAATAAGGAAAACTAAAACGGATACTTACATAATTTTCCTTTTAATAATTGTCTAAATCATCCATTTCACCCCTAATAATAAGTGTTCAAAGATCCACAAGATTTGTACGACTTTTGCATCCGGATTTATTGTGAGTGTTGGAAATTCATTTTAAAGCCATCATGGATGTTTATGCCGCCGAAAGTGGTTTCCATATGAGGATTTGAGGTGAGACTTTATTTGCTTTTCATAAACTCTAGGCCTTATTGAAACTTTATCCATTATTTTTAGTACATTTGATTTCAAATCGGCTGGTTGAAAGTGCATTTTTGGCTAGCCTCTAAGTTTAAATCTTTTTCTAAAACTTTGTGCACAACCGAAGCCGTCCAATTCGACATCTAATGCTTAGGAGCAACTGTGACCATGTTTTAACAAAGATAAATGGTCTCATAGTATACAATCCCTAAAAGAAAAGTCTCTATACTTCGCAGCCGTATGTATTTTTTTTACATCTCCCATCTCCCAGCCATCCCATCGATATAGGTAGCTGAGGTGGCCTCATTTACAATATCATACTTATACAATGTTTTTTTCCTTTTTTTTTTAAGAAACATTTTGATATCAAATTTAGGGTGTCCACTCCTCTCTTAAACTCTAACCAACAAAAATATATTCTCAATAAAATAAAATGTTCAAAGTACCCCTAAAAGTTTTAGGAGTATTTGGTTATTTAAAATTTTTAAAAATATTTTTAATAATTTTTAAGTGTAACCTATTGAAATGATGACAATTGCCAAATTTCATATTCATATAAATTATATAAAAAAGAATATTTCAAGTGGTTAGTAGCTCACTTGTGACATTTCGGAAGTATAGAAAGTTTTACCTTAACTTTAATGTCTTGACACAAATTTGTCGTTTTGTCGTTTAGAGGACAAAAGAGAGGTTTTGGTAAGAGCAAAATAATAATAATAATAATAATAATAATATAAAAAATAAATTGCACACCCCTAGCTTAGTGAACTCCAAGAAATCAAAAACCTCAAAACCCTTTGGAACTCTGGCATAGTCACCTTATTGGACCTAAAACTTAGACTTCAAACCCACCTAATGCCTCAAATTAGTCATCCTCACACTCCTAAACGTATGAACCATAGTAAAGAACCCTTACACAATTCCAACACTTAAAACCTTGAAAGCCAACATCCTAAAATCCTAACTTTACATATCCCTCAAAAGTACCCAAATTGGATCGAACTTGATTTCAAATTGTAGAGAAGGTTGTACGTTTTCCAACAATCCAAGAATCACTCAAATTTGATGTATTATTTGTGAAAGAAATACTTATGTGATCTTTTATCAGGGAATACATTTATTTTTATTTTTATTTTTATTTTTATTTTTATTTTTATTTTTATTTTATTTTTCACCCCTTTCTTTTGGCAAAAGATCACTTGCAGGTAGTTTTTATTATAACAAGATAAATTTCAAAATAAATTCAACATAACAATAAAACCAAGATCTTAACAACTTGATGTCATTGAAACAATTATGCACTATACTTGAGAATAAAAGATAATATTGCAAGAAACAAAAAGAATAGTGCCGAAAATTACCTCAACCAGGCTTATTACACCTCACACCGAATCACCACCATCCGATGGCGCGGGATCAATAGTCTAGCTTCAATCTCGAATCGGGAAAGCAAATTTCGGCCAAGCCACACCAATGGAACATGAACCCCTTTGATCATAAACTCAAACCCTATGTGAATTCTCTTGGCAACCTAGTTTGAGAGAGATAAATTCTCCTTCTTTCTTTTTTTGCTAAACCCTAAAAAGCCGTAAATCCATATTTAGAGAGATCGGAGAGAAGAAATCCATAACCTAAACCTTTAGGTTCTTTCACAATGTGAGAGAGAGATTAAAGATGAGAGAGTGGGATATGAGAGAGAAATATGAGAATTAGGTATAAGAGATAAGGTGTATAGATTTTTGGGTATAGACAATCTATTTTTATAGGCTTTGAATAAGATTATGGTTTCTTAGGGTTTTCTTTAGCTTGCTTCTTCTTGTGAGATTGAACATAAACCGTCGATCAAGGGTGACTTGTGGGATGAGAGATATGAGCCATCCATTCCATAGACGGGCCATCAACATTATGGAATGTACATCAACCATTATCCCATTTTCTAAATTATTTTTCCATCAATATATTTAAATAAAATAAAATCATGCATTTTATAAAATTGCACGATCTATGTCACATATTCCATAAGGATATCATGCATTCTATAAAATTGCACGATCCATGTCACATATTCTATAAGGATATGTCAAATAATATCAAGTAGATAAATACTACCAAATATAAATAAGATAAAATCCATATCAATACAAATTGATCATATCTCTTTAAAACAAACTTGCTACAAAATAGATAAAGCTATTATCAATATATATCCATTTCAAGATTTGACCACATGTCATAAATCAAACTAACATTCTCTTAAAAGCAAACAAGAGAATCCAAAGAGGGTGGGGCGTGCCACCCTTTTGTGGCACATGTGGCCCCCACCCACATCCCACATGGTGGGCCCATGTGCACTATGGGCACCCATGGAATATTATAAAAAATATTATTTTTAAAATTAAATAAAACAATTTAAAATATATATTTGAATTTTTTTAACTTTGTAAGAACAATAACTGTGTTTTTATAAGTCCAAAAATCACAAATAAAATATTGAGATATTCATAAAAATTCAAATAATAAAACTAAAATCATTTTAATAATAAAATGAACACAATTAAATTAATATGATGGGAAAAAGATCCATATGGTTTAGGAATCAATAATCATGGGGCACTTCACCTTCAACTGTGGACTACAGACCACACTTGCTTTATCAGACTGACCCAGTGTTTCTCATGGCCCATAGTTCAAGCAGGGGTTTATTAGCGGGTCACCAAAGTCCGGCCGATGAGCCAAAGGATCGCAATCTCATTCTGTGGATTTCAGATCCTCCCCTAGAGACGAGTCAAGGTCACCTAGACCTGATGCGACCACAACTCTATGGCGCATAGGGGTATCTCTCGCACATGCATACGCTTCACCCTAAAAGGTGGATATCTGGCGTTCCCGAAC